ACTGTACACTCACTACGGGATGATACATTTGTGAATAATGAACAGCAAAAATTACGGTACAGCGCGTAACAAGAAATGTGCTTCGTTGAAGAGGCGCGCAGTGAAAGATTCTGACTTGAATGCGAATCGTTTAAAAGCTAGTAATTTCGTGATAAAATGGAGTCATATATTCTGTTACATTCTCAGATATTGCCCGATTTTATTATCACATCAGATCTCTTAACTTTTAACCAGCTTCTATATTTTTATTCTCGCTAGTAAAACTTGAAATGTTAAATTTTATTTATTTTTGCTCCATTTGGATTCGCTCCATTCACCTTTGTTTGCAATTTTCACGCAATTTTTACGTAACACGAAGATTCATATTTTATGTGATGTTTCTCTATTTACTATTCGAAAAATCTTTATTAAAGAATTGTTTTATTTATTTAGGAAAAATATATGTGTGTGTGTACGTTGAATATAGATTCTCTTTTTAAATAAAAAAAGATTGTCCTCTTTTTGTAATTCTGTTAATAATAATTATGTTATGTAAATTTTTATTTTTTTAACGTTTTTGCGTTAACTTTCTTAGCACGATGAAGCACGTACACTTTTTAAACGTCAGAGAGGAGAGGAGAGGAGAAACTCAATATGGCTCTTTCGCGCCTTTGCCTTTGATGTTTGCCCCTAGGTTCAATGGCTCGAATTAATACTTTTCACCCCTCCGGGTGTGCTTAAGAGCTTCTCGAAAGCGGACACAAAGCTGCCGTAGTGGGTGCCATGAAAAGGTGCTCGAATTTGTATCTCAATTCGAAATCCCCTTGTGACAAGGGGGTTGTCATATCGTGCCTTTTATTGATTAACATAAGTTAATTCACAAAATATGATGGTTAAAATCCGAAAGTATAAAGAACAAAATTTTACAGTAAAATGTTAAAATTTAAAAACATAAAATTTTCTAGAATAACAATATTTATAAAAAATAAAAATGATTAGGTAACTTATAAATGCTGTCAAAGAAAGACATAATTAAAACTGCGTAACCATTTACTGCATTATTGCGTACAAAGACATATTAATTTATTTTTTGTTTAATTACAATTTAGAGAAATACTGTGAAAAATTTAATGACAAATAAGAATCTGTCTCATCTCTGCAAGGATATTTGCAAGTATTTTTTATTATTATCTAGAAAAGTGAGTGATAGGAAAAAACAGTGAAAGATCGAAAGAAAAACAGAGTCTTGTCTGAACGCACTATTATCGTATTATGTAACGGAAGTGGAAACACAAGCATTAAAGATTTGCGTGGACAACCGAAAGTACGTAGGAAGGATAGGTTTCGTTAAGAGGATGATACGATATTATATTCTGAATAAGGACAAGAATGAAAAGAAAACTCTTGAACTAGAATGCTTTTTTTATAGTACACCGTCTTCTTTATTTTTCATCGCATATTTGCCGTACGTGAATATGGCAAGAAAAAAAAACTAAGAGTGTTTTTTGACGGCGGCAAATCACTTCTCCCTTTTTTTTCACGATAAAAAGTAGCGTGGTTGCGAGCAAAGTGCACGCGCAAGGACACGCCCGGAAATTCCTCGGCTTTGCAAACTTTCGCGTTCTCTTCGTTCGTTCGTTCCGCCCTTCCGTTTCTCGCTGTTAGCTCGTTCTTTTTGCCATCGTACCAAGGGAAATAGTGTAATGTAATGGAGGGGAAAATGTCGTATTGAAGAATATTTATTCCATGATTTAAGTTATTTAATGAAAGTTTAAATTCAATTTAATTAATAATTAAAACTTGAATTTATTCAATGAAAGAATTTACTTCGTGAGTTAATTTCGTTAAAATAGAAAATTTACATATATAGTAGTGTTGCATTTTTTGTATACATATATTGTTTTATTGCAAACTTTTTAAATATTTTTTCAATATTTTTAAGAAGTAAGACGCGTTTATACATATATATTTTTATTATTACATTAGCAACAATTCAGTAATAACTTTCATACATAATGGCGACCATTGAAAGTCTAAAGTAAATTACTACAACTTTTCAACGAATGGACAGAACAAAATAAATTAAATTTATTTTGTAGAAAAAATTTGTCAATTTTATTACATATAGTATGAAAGAAGTATATAATGATTAAGTAATTAAAATAAACATGATTTAAAAAATGCTACAAATCTGTCGCTCAGTAATAAATATTTTCGAAGTGTTGTATATAATTATTTTAATTAATGTATACTTCTTTCATATTATATGGAATAAAATTGACGGAATTTTCTTTACAAAATAAATTTAATTTATTTCATTCTGTTCATCTGTTGCAAAGTAATAGTAATTTACTTTAGACACTTTTCCAATCGTCATCCTGTACAAATAATTTTTTTACAGAAATATCTTTTCAAAGTTGTTTAAATTATCTTTACCGATATTTAATATTTGGAAATTTCGGTATACATTTTTGACATACGCGTATGTATATAAATGAAATTTATAAATAAATATTATAAATGTCTGCGTATTTTCGTACTTTTATATCTACATCGACCTCGACATTTTCTGACGACTTGTACGGATGCCCCACTTTACCGAAACAAAATTGCTAAGTCTTAGAAGGGATAGTAGTACATCAGAGTCCGACTTAGGAGCGGTACTTTATTTCTCAGTTCGAACCCCGAATACCAATCATCGTCTCGTCCATCAATGTCGGCGAGGAAAGGTCAGACGGATGCTGCTTTTTCCATGTCGTGGAAAAGGCACGCGAGTTTTGTAACAGTCACGATCTCGGCCTCGGCACGAATCTACAAGCTAAACTATAATTCACTCGCCGGTCAGATCGGTTGGTTGATTAATTCGGGACGATATTAAAGTATCACTCACGTGAGGCTTGCTATTGTTATGCTGCAACATTATAATGCAATTTTATCGTGGCCGTTGACACATTTTACACACACTGTTCACACAAATGTCGTTATACAATATTTCGGATAAAATGTGCTGGAATTGTTGCTTTTATTATTTGTGATATGTTTAATAAATACGATAATCGATTTTTTCTTTAATTGAGAGATGTTAATAATTTGCGGTTAAAAGAGATTGAAATCGGAGGAATTGCGGTGAATTAAATTTCCGAGGTTTTTATATAGATAACAACGCAAACGCTATATGTGTATTCACGAAATATTTCCACGGACATTCTTCCGAGGCTCGGAACGCGTGTGTACAAATTGCACGACACTGTGCAAATAGTCGCACGGTAGACGTAGCCAATTCAGCGGCACGGAACGATACTGGAGCACCTGTGTCCCGGGGCTTTGAATGGTATTGCGCTGGTATCCCCGAAGTGGTTGCGGTCACGCAACGGTCGGCTGAATTGGCCCGCTGCACCTTCTTCGTTATCAAAATGCACGTAGATATACCGCGCACACGCGCATTACAAAACGCGAAAACGTTGTCACTACGAAATTAATTCAAACGGATTATCTCGTGCAAATAGATCTTTCCCTTTCGAGGTGGAAGTCTGAGTCAAAAATGGTCGTAAACGTTAAAATTTTTTCTACATTTTTTTAGTGAAAATATTTAAAAACATCGAAAAGTTGAATGGACTTATTTTTATTCAAATATTCTAATATTTATGAATTTAACATTAAAAAATATACATCTATAAATTAAATGCTGAATGAACACTCTAAAAACCACGTAATTAAGATTAAATAAATTTTATGTTATTTATAATAAAATGCAACATATATTTACATATATATTTACATGTGGTTAGATCTTTCGTTAACAAAGCAGCAGTTACAATTACTTGCAACACGATTGTTCGAAGCTTAGGTGCAAGCTCGGGGCAATTTAAGAAGCAATCAGTGTTTATCGAGGGGTGTAAAACTCGGCTAAAGTTGTCTGGTGGGGTGAGAGAAGGTCCGATAGGGCGGCTTCCGCTTTTATACGGGAGAAGGCCGGTACGGCACGATACAACGGCGGTCCCTTTTTATCTGCCATTTATCTTGTACGCTGGCACATCGCACAGCGTCTGTGACAGCAGAAAACGAGCTCGACGACCGAATCAGCCGTCGTCATTAAAGATACATCTCCTTACACAGGACGCCTTTATTCTATGCATTTTGGTTCTTTTTTTCTTTTCTCTTGCTCGACTTGTCCTTCCATTAGTCTGTATCTTCTATCTCATCGGCGATCGAGATACTTTAATCGAAACTAAATTTTATCGGATTATTTTGAATGCAACGCAAATAAATTTTTTCGAATGTAAACTTGAGATTTAGATAATTTGTTAAACTTAAATAACTTATTTGCAAATAGATTTTTATGTATTATTTGGTAATGTTTAAATATGAAAAAGCTGGGATAATTATATTATTGTATTAAAATTACACAGTTTTCATCTAATTGCTTTTCGTTTATGCTGTTATCTCTATGATGCCGCATTGTAGAAGTTAACCAAACGATGTCGGAAGATTAATTTCCGCTTTCCGCAGGATGAATCGTTCAGAAGGAGTCATTATTTCCATTAAAACCGTTCGATAGCGCGAATAGGTGCGATTGCTACACCACGCTCTGCAAATTGACTCTGTCTGACCATTGCGTGATTGTAACTACTTGGAGTCGGATCCTTAATGCGCTGCTATTAAAACGTGCCGCTAGGCGTGCATCGCCGTGAAAATCGCGAGCAATTCGCGCTGGCCTTTTCGTGGTCAACGGACTGTTTCATAAAAAACATATTTTGTTAAATTTTAGTAAATACAAATAAGTATTTTAAAATTATCTAATATGGTTATAATGGTGTTTTATAAAATAGAAATATTTTAGATTGTTAATTTTTAATCGAATGGAATTGAAATATACATATAATTGTAATTTTTTATCTTCTTTTATCAGTAATATTTTATAATATTCCAGAGCTTAAATCATGGAAAATTAAACTGTTTTACTGACATATGATTAATATTTTATTGATATCTTAAAACTAATGTACTTTTTCTTGTTTTAGGTTTGCTACCTCTGGGACACCTCTACAAATAGCAGAGATACTCATCGACCGGTGAGTGACAAATACCAATGTTTTATTTATCATTATTTTATATTTAAAAATCTAGCACTCAGATTTTTAGTTCAGCTCTCGATTTGACAAACGCGTATCGCGTTTAAAAAATTCTCTTCACGAATCTGCGTGGCGATTTTTCTTTTTTGTCAATATGTAAGTTTGACAGAGAAAAAAGCAAAATCGAAATCGACAACGCGATTTGTGCGCACGATGCGACGAGCACACATGTAAATATTGAAAACGCCGGGATGGCCGGATGACGTGACGGTTTTTTCTCTAGAAAAGCAATTACCTGAAAAACAGACATTGCAGCGATTTTTTCGTGTGTGCACTGCGACAAAAAGTTTTATCCATAAATATTGCGTATTGTATTGCGCGTGGATCGCATATGCTATTTCTCTTCGATAACATATTTTTTTGGAATTCGGATCTTTCCGTCTACTCGCGAATCGAATCAACATTGTAATACATCTAGGATAGCTTTTTTCGATAATCCATTTACATGTAAATTACAATGGCTACACATTGAAATGAGTATCTAAATATTATTTGCTCGCAAAATGCGAACGGTAGAATAATATACATATAAATTAAGAAACTGTTAATTTTACTAGAAAAATTGAGACATGAAATATAATGATACACTGATTATTGATGCACCTATATTGGTCCACATAACTTCAATATTGAATTAAAATCAACCTGCTCGCTTTTAACTTAAAAAATAAATAGAAAAATGTCAAATTTTCCAATATACGATATTTTGTTTTATAAATATAAATATTCGGCTTTAAAAGTTTGACGAAACAAGGCAAAATACTAAATGCTAAAATAACGTAAAATAAAATAAAATTTTTATTTATGTATGGCGAACACGTTGATTTATGTCAAATTAGGACAACTTTTGAAAATTTTTAAAAGCTTTTATAAAAAAACCTAAAAAAGTCATAATTAATTCCAGTTATTTATTTAAATCACTGAAATTGAACAAATGTCACTATGTATTTATAAATTCTAGTCGAGTTTATTCTTTTTTCCTCTTTTTCTCTCCTTTCTTTCTCTGTTTAAAAAGAAATTTTTTCATTATTTTACGATTAAAAATATTTTAATCATAAATATATCTATTGAATTTTACATAATTTGTAATAATATATTGTTTAGGAAGACAAAGGTATTAACGGTATTTTTCTTATCTTGACAATAAAACGCGGAGAATATTTCATAAATAATAGTATAATTTATTATATATACATATGTATAATTTTAGATTTCAGAAAAATAATTAAATTTTATTTTTTGTGTATTCAAAATTTAGAATCCATATCAAATATCTCAAATTTTTTTTAGTTTGAGATATTGTGAGAGAGTGCACATTCGTCTAGTGATAATCCTATCTTTTCTGAAATATCTAGTGCGTAGCTTTAGTCAAATGCGCGTATATGTGCGAGTATGCACATCCTCGATACGGAACGGTCGTATCGACTTCGACGACTCGTCTCGTATTTCATCGAGATATGGATATGGTATATAGACCGCAGCATCCAGCTGGTTTTCTATCTCGCTTACACGTATTCGCGACCTTTCTGTCCGTGAACACACTAGATACTATGACGAAAGAAGTCTTGAAAATAGTCAAAATACAGCGATCGAAAAAGAAAAGAAACTTTGAAGAAATAAGTTTTTAAAAAAAATTACATTGTAATATATCATTGCCAAATATCATTGTAAAATAAAATTATCTGAACAGAATTAATTTGCGTAATCGTAAAAAAGTTTATGTTTAATATTGAATTATTTAAGTAATTATAAATTGCTTAGATATATTGTTAAATAATCATGCTATTTTCATGCTTGCAATGAATAAATTCGGATTTGATTTTTATTGATAGAGAAATTAATTTAATAAAATATTTATATCAAATATTTTTCTGCATATTTTAGATAAATCATCAGTTTTAAATTTATTGAGACGTTATTTACGTCCACCATTTAGCTTCTGAGTCTTTGTAGCTCCGTCCACAATTTATGTCACTGTCTATAGAATATGTGGTCATTCGATACATGTCCATAAACTGTCAAGAACATGTCACGTACGAATTTACGCGATTGTCAAATCGAGCCATTTAGGAAAAAATATAAAAAATTTGTTTTTAACTTTTATTTTGTTCAGGTGATGTAATTTTTCGATATCTATTATTTATCAGGTAACGTAATTTTTCGATATCTATTATCTATCAAATAAATTGCGAATACTAACTTATTTCTGCATATAATAATTTCTTAAGAGTTCAAAAATTTGATAAAAATTTAGTGCTGGATTTTTAGTTTATATTTGATATTTGTGTTCACATGTATGTACAAACGCTTTTGTATTTATCATAGTATTATTACATGCTAATATGTGGATATAGATTATAATTATGAAAATATGTATGTTACAATCAGACTTTAGTCTGAGCGCTTACAATGAGCGCTAATTTTATTAATAATTACTTCAGTTTGATTACTTCTGCATTGAAGTAGTCTGCTCATAAATGAAACAAATTTTATTGGGTTAGCGGAACAATTTAATAATTTTTAACCTCCTTGTAATTTTTTTTATTATATTAAGTATAACATTTTTTACAATTAATATTTATAATGCATTTATTCGCAACTTTTCCTAGAAAAAAATCCGAAAAATTTCGGTTTACCCGTGGATAAATATATATAAATTTTTATGCAATTTGCGCAACATAAACCGTACTGAATCGCGTTTAAAGATCTCTCTCTTAGATCCAAGAATTCCGGAATGTGCACCAAGAATGGATAAGAGAGTCAAGCCCCTGCAATATGCATCTGCAGCGTGGGACGTATTGCAGGGGTCCGCATTTCGTGAAGCAACAGCACATTCGGGGAAACCGTTTATCGCTTACTGTTGTCCTTGCGGCATTAGCGGCGTTATACGTACGATTATGGGATTATTTGTTACTGACAATGAATTGATCACTTCATCCGTGATTATTGATGCACGATTTATTCACGTCAAAACGCGTGTTCGCGATTCGCGATACCGTGAAACACGATCTTCTCGTCGAAACGGTGAGGCGAACGGATGAATTGGCCTCGTTGCTAAACTTACGCCAGTGAATTAACTCGCTGGTTATGCGGTTATGTTTCTGAAATTGCGTGAGGTAACAGTTGTGCAGTAGTATAATCGAATGGCTAGATGCAGTAGTATACGGTAAACCAGAATAGAGAAACATCGCAATGGAAAAGCGGCTAGAAAGATTTATTGATCCTTAATGAAATTTAATATTTTTTCATGCGACGTGAATTTGTTTCTAATATATTATTCTTAAAATCGCTAGAAAAGTAAAATAAAATAACAATTGTTTTAATATCACAATTTTATAATCTTATAATATTATGTTTTTTCTAATTTTGCAAGCGCGCGATATTTTAATTATTTGATTTATGTTGTAATTTTGTAATTTTTAGTAATTTGTTTAATTAAAAACAATTTTTTTTAAAGATTTTATATTTGCCACAATTAAATAAACGTTTCTCCGAATGCTGCATTTTAAGGCAATTATCATTCTGCTTATCGCTCGAATCTGATTTTAATTTTAACACGATCGCCGCAATTACACGATCAAAAGAAATGATGTTTAAGAATTTCCTTCGCGTGTGATTTATCGCACGAAATCCGCGAGAAATGCCCCGGTCGGGAAATAATGTTACGACTGCGTGTTACAGTGGACGCATCCACCTCTGGACAGTGCTATAAATCGTTCCGCACCCATAAAAGACTAACTCCTCGTTTATCATGCGCTTTTCTGTCTGGTATCCCCGACCTCCCGCGGAGAAATATCTCTCGCTACGAGAATACGAGAGCGTAGGGAATCTGAAATTGTAAGATCCGCGCTATTCTTACGCTACCGACAAATGTCGGTGTACACATGAAGGCTACTTTCGGGTACAAGACACTATATCTTCTCTTATATAATGCTATTTGACTATGAATATTAAGGATTGAGCATTTGTCATAAAGCTGTAAAAACTTAAAACACATGTGTTGACCTCAAAGCTGTTTTAATATGGTGAAATAAAAAATTTACTTGAGATTATCTGAAGATTATCTATTTTGTTTTATAGAAAAAGGCATTACTTATTATTAATCTTAAAGGCGTGTGTAATTATTATCTTAGAGGAAAGTAAAAATTAAACTACTGCATTTAGCACTAAATACGGGATACAAATAGAAGGTTTTGCATCTCTGTAAATCTATAGTTTGCGTTCCTGCCGTGCGGATATGTAAACGAAAATTACAAAGATCCTCTCTCCGTTTCTTTATGTAAACACTGGTAGATTACAGAACAGCTATGGCGACTCTAAGCTATAGAAATTATGATGCTGCAGAAAATTACACTGTCACGTAGAAAGAATGTTACGATCCTTGTAAAATTATGGCCGTTTACCGGCACCGAGACTCGTGTAAATAATATATAATATAATCGAAGATTGAAAAAATTTAAATATATAACGTGTTTTTTCATCTAAAAGCGATTAATAAAACGGAATGATTAACAATTAAAATAGTAATTATCTTTGTCAGTTTTTTTAAGATCAATTTCTTTAAAATTTCTACTTGTAGACTTGCCCTTTGATTTCAATTATTTTGAAGATTAATAATTTTTAAATAAAGCTGGATCGTAATATTTTTAAATTAAATATTAATTAATGTGCTAACTAAAATGGGAATAAATTCAAGATGCGATTATAATATATGCGAATTTTGAATTTATTTAGATTTTAATTGATTCTATAGTCCATGTAGGCAAACTTTACGTTATTTATGTCAGGTTAAGACGTTATTCATCCCGCAAATAAAGCATCTGTTAAGGTAAAATTCATTTTAAACTGCCCGAAAAATAAGATGTTATTAACTATTTACGCTATTGAAGCCCCTTTATGGCGAGAGCGCGGTATTCCTCCCTACATCTTTCGTAACACATCCCGCAGAAAAATGGTCGAGCGAAAACGCGC